TAGAGCCCACTGTAACTACATAGCCAAAAAGGCATTAAGAGTTGTTAGCCTAATCCTATGTAGCTTTTTCTCTGGTAATATCACACTACTAACTAGAGCATATGAAACATTTGCTAGACCAATACTCGAATTCAGCTCATCAGTCTGGAACCCACATTACGTATCTGATATTAGCACAATTGAGAAAGTCCAGAAATATTTCACAAGAAGAGTTCTCCACTCCTCTACTCGTTGTAGAATACCTTATGCTGCCAGACTTGAAACTCTAGACCTAGAAAACTAGAACTACGCTGCCTTCAGTCCAATCTAAATATAGTATATAAAATCATACATTGCAATGTCCTACCAGTCAATGAATACTTCAGCTTCAACCATAACAATACAAGAACACACAATAGATACGAACTTAAAGTTAACAGCACCAAACTTGATTGCAGGAAATACGACTTCAGCAACAGAGTGGTCAATGTCTGGAATACTCTACTTGACTCTGTGGTTTCTTCTCCAAACCCCAAAAACTTTAACCTTAAACTGTCTACTATTGACCTCACCCCTTTCCTAAGAGGTCTGTAGGGGGTGTGCATAAGCGCACCAATGTACCTACCATCCCTGTCCTATTGTTTCTTTTTATTTTTCTTATATGTATCCATTTCATGTATTCATAACTATGTTCATACTTATAACTATTATCTTGTAAATGATTGACAAATCAAATCAAATAAATAAGTGTGTGTGTGTAGGAAACACACCACAATAGTAATGGGGGTCTTCAATTATCCAGACATCAATTGGAAGACTAATTTCATACCTAGTGAGAAATTGAATAGGTTCCTGACCAACTTAGCTGACAACTTTGTTGTCCAAAAGATAGACTTAATTCTTACAAACAGAGAAGAAGTGATAGAAGGACTTGAAACTGCAGGAATCCTAGGTGAAAGTGACCATGTCATACTAGAATTCAATATAATGCAAAGACAAGCCATAGAACATAATGATACCAGAGTCTTAGATTTTAAAAGAGCTGATTTTAACAAACCCATAGAGAACTTAGGAAAGATTCCTTGGATGAAAATCCTAAAGGAAACAAAAAACCTCAAGAAGCTTGGAAAATTCTGAAAAATAGGATCATAAAAGCCCAGCCAGCACAATACCACTTGTTGAGGTAATTCCCCCTTAGGAGAATGAGCGCATACAGGGAGATGTATTGAGAGTAGTGTTTGAATAATACACATACAACACACAGATACACTGTACAATAAATGGAGGTTTTTACTTTCAATAGCAAGGTTCAAACAAGCAGTCAAAAGTCATTCACAGGTAAGTTCAGTCAGTTTTTAGTCCAGGGATAATCCAGTAACAAAGTCCAGTGTCAAAACCAGTTCGGTATCAAACTTACATCAAATCCAAGAATATCAGTCAATTTGGAGGAACGGCAGTACTCTCCAACAGAAGGAAAAACAGAGACTCACACACACTCTCTTCTGAGACTTCCTGGGACCAAGACTATTCAGGTTTCTGGCTCCATCTTATGGCCATTTGCAAAACCATACCCAATTGCAGTTTTAGGCATTTACTTAAAGATACAGTATTAAAATGTCCATCCTGGTTTATATATTTCCATCCCAAGTAGCTGTTAGGTGACTCACATTCCTAACACCACTGAAAAAAGAAAAACAAGAAATCAAGAAGAAACCAGCATGGCTGCACAAAGATCTCTCTGAAAAATTGAAAGACAAAAAGGACAAGCACAAAAAATGGAAAGAGGAACACACAACTAAGACAGAATATCAGCAGATAGCCAGAATCTGCTAAGACAAAGTCAGGAAAGCAAAGGCTCAGAATGAACAAACAACAACAGTCAAAGATAACAAAAAAATGAATGTACAACTGAACCCATACATGCAACCTTGTACAATGCTGTAACTAAACTGGGACTTGAACAACTAGTAACTTTCAAGAAGAGATTGGCTACCATTTGTCAGAAATGGTGTAGGGTCTCCAGCTTGGGTGGGGGGTTGGACTAGATGATGATCTACAAGGGCCCTTCCAACTCTCTTAATCTATTAATGATCTGTTAAATATAGACTGATTAAGAACTGTTTTTTCTAGCTGTGAAATGTAGGAAGAAAACGGGCAGTGAAATTTAACTATGTTACTAAAATGGAATGAAATCTTTAGAGTTTCTTATATTTACTACAAAAGGAAAACCATTCCCACGAACTTTCAGAAGAGGAAGAACTTTAATATGTGTGTGTTTGTGTGCATATATGTGTACACATATATAGGAAAAAACTCATCAGACAAATAGTGCATGTAATAGTCAGCAAATTCTGTTTAATTTATATTTTGATCAGTGCTGAAGAATTCCTACCTTTAAAAGATATTCTTTCTTCTAATCTACGATATGGGTCAAAAGGCTGGTTGGTTTTTTTTTTATAACTTTGATGAAGAAATGCAGTTGCAGAGCATTCTATTTGCAGCTTCTTAGATTTGCTACTGATTTTTTCAGCTTCAGCTTATTCACAGTTCAATCTAAGGCAGGTTGCCTTCGGAAATCAAGGGAGCTTCATCACTTGAGACTTTCAAGAAGAGATTGGACTGTCATTTTTCAGAAATGGTGTAGGTCTCCTGCTTGGGCAGGGGTTTGGACTAGATTACCTACAAGGTCTTTTCCAATTCTGTTAATCTAATCTATCTATTTCTCAAGTCTAGAATGAAATTCCCCTGCAAGGGCTTTCTTCCTCTAGAACAGCTTATTCTTCAAGATGAGGAAGGATCACACTCTTATGACCTTTTAAAAATGCTTCCTTTTTCTTCAGTGTCTTGCATGGTTGATTTTGGAATCATCAAGATCCAGTAAGTATATTTTTTATTATTATACATAATAACATTTTTATTATGTTTATACTGTATATTATTGCATTATTCTTATTTTGTTGCAGGTGTTCTAAACGATTTAGAGTTTAGAAAGATTGAGTGAGTCTACACATATCACAAATAAACTACTATTCTACTATTGACAGTTTCTATTGTAAAACATTATAAAACAGAGCCATGGGGAATTTTTCTGAGACAGAAAATATAAGCCAGAGATGTAGCCTCCACATATGCATTGATACTATTTTAAATTCTTTCACGTGCATCCTGCAGGGAAAATAGTCAATTTATGATATTGGAAGAAGATTGGAAACATACTTTATTGAAGAAAGTTTTGTTTTTGGAGTTGGGTTTGTTTTGTTTTGGGGTGGTTTTTTTTTGCTATAATTACCACAGATCTGGGTATCTCTTAGACAAGGATGGTTTTAGCTTCAAAATGCCTCATCTGACTAGGAAGATAATGTTTACTAAAATATCCAGGCTGATTCATCTTCTGAGTAGCCCATTTTCCCCTATCCCACTTTCATCTTCTGGTGCCATCCCAATCTCTCATTTTTATGCCTCTTCTCCACCCCATCCCACCTGAGGACCCTGGTCTTCTAGTTTTCATTCATTTTCTTTGGTCCCTCCCTTCTGCCTTTGCATAGTTACACCTTTCCACAACTGTGTTCCCAACTGTGAGCACCAGGGTTACAATGCAACCCTCATATGGTTTGGCATTGCTGGTTTTATTTGTTTGTTTTGCCACCATGACAGGACGTTCCTTTCTTCAGTCTTACTGAATTTGCTATCAATTTAGGAAGCACCAGCAAGGAATATGAATGAACTTGACTATACTGGAGTGTAATTGGTGAGACTTAGTTCTAATTGTGGCATTTGGAAAAAATGAGGAGAAGCTTCTATGTCTGCTCTCTTAAATGTATAAATATATATTGAAAGGCATCTTAGAGAAAACAATTACCCCTTCTCTACCTTTTTTTTAGACAGTTTAAATATAGTAACTCTACTTGAGATAGATCTGCAGCCTCTTCAAAGCTAATTGCAGAGAAAAGAAAAGCTGAACCAATGATATGTCAATTGTCTAACCTGATGGCCACTTGACTATGTGGAACTGGCAGTCTATGTATTCTAAACTGATGGGATCACTGAAAGAACTGCAGTGCTTTTGATTCAAAGGAAGAATAGTGCCGTGATGATGAACCTATGCCATGCATGCCAGAAGTGGCATACAGAGCCATATCTCCGGGCACGCCAGCCATTACCCATTGCTCTTCCCTGTTCCAGCTGGCCTTTGCACATGATAGATCACCGGAAACTGGAAGAGCAGCTCCCTGGTGCGCATGTGCGCACCGGCCATGCGTGTACATGTGCATTAGAAATTGGAAGACCAGGTGGCAGGCATACACGCGCACTCCAGGAAACTAAGTTTACGGTTTCCGCTACTTCCATGCATGCACATGGGGAAGCTGCTCTTCCAGTTTGCAGGCAACATGCGCACTCCCGTTTTGGCACTCAGTACTGAAGAGGTTATCTACCAATGGAATAGTGCTTCAAAGTAGACAGGAGTATTTATGTAACACCAGTCTGCAAATCTGAAAAGCCCTAAAAAAGATATGGCCACTTTAAGATCTTACAAATAATGCATAAAATTTTGCCTTCCCACCTATAGTGTCAGCGTTCCAACCAAACTCTCCATCACAAATTCAGCCTCAGAAACAAAGTCCATCCAAGTAAGAATTTATTAGAGAAGTCATATTGGCACACCTGGGGAAAACCCAAATCTGAATTCCTGCGTTTTCCCCTGCTACACTAAAACTCACACCCAGCCCCTATTGATGATCCTCAAGTCATACTCTCCAATCCACCTCAATTCTGAACCCCTGCCAAGTCCAGTCACTCCCCTCCAAACTCCAGAGATTCGGCCTTGAGCTCTGGCAAAATAATATTGTTGTGGCTATCCTCCCTTCTCACTACTCTCTCATTCCCACAGCTGCCCATCCCCCCTTGTGGAAGCCCTAAATCTAATTCAAGATGGATCCGGGACTGACACAAAGTCCAGCACAGGCCTAGATTTTAGAGAACTCGAACTGTGTACTTGAGCCAAGAGTTTCACACCTAAGAGAGGGAACTCACACTTGAAAAAAATCATCATTTAAGATAGTTACACCAATTTTTTAAAAATGGCTGCAATTCTGCAATTTCCTACATGGAAAAACCTAATGTCAGGACTGCCTCTGTTCAATTCCTAGGAAAAAAGAATCCTTGCTCCATAGGTTTAGAGAAAAGTACTTTTACTGGGAACAAACTGAAAGCAAATGGTTTCAAACAAGCTCTGAGCCCTCAGAGCAGGAACACTTTGAAATATAATATACAGCCCAGATCCCTGTAGCTAGGCAACCAGAGGTCACCACATACCAGAACCAGCTGTGTGGCCTTGAAGATAACCACAGTTGCAAAACTGCAGTGTTAAATTCTCCACAGGTTTATGGCAGCAAATTCTCCCTCCCACCTTTTTTTTTTTAATGGCATCAAGCAACAAGCTGGCTAACAGAGGCATTAGCCATACAAAATTATACAGTGAAAACATACAATAATACATCACACCAAAACCAGCAATTCCTTCAGAGTTTGTTGGGGTATTTTCTATAGAAAGTCTGGAGGAGTTTAGGCACCCGGACACGTTTAGCATCCACCCATTCAGACTGCACAGGGGAAAATGTTTCCAAGAAATGAGATATTGGACCCTCCCTTTATATTTCCTGGAATCTAGGATTTCTTTAATTTCAAAATGCTGCTCCCCTTCAATCAGAGTGGGTAGGGGAGGAATGTCAGGTGCAGGGCAAAGAGATGATACAGTTTCAGGTTTTAACAAAGTGCAATGAAATACAGAGTGAATACATTTTAGGTTCTTGGGCAACTCCAGTGCACGGTAACTGGATTAATTACTTTAAAATTGGGAATGTGCCCATGTGTTTAGGATCAAGTTTCTTAGATGGTTGGATGGACTGTAAGTACTTTGTGGAGAGGTAAACTCTGTCACCTACTTGAAAATCTTTTGGCTTCACATGTTTTTGTCAGCTTCTTTCTTATGTGCCTGATTGTGCCTCCTCCAGTGCCTTACAACTGGGAAAGTGTTCTGCAGTTGTGGTATCCATCTGCTAAGGAGAGTGCATGTCGTTTCTCTTGAGGCAGCTCTGGCATAGTCCTGACCAGAGTCCATCTTAAATGGGTGTACTACTGTGCACAGAATTGTTATATGCTACCTTTGCAAAAGGCAAAAGTTCAGCCCAATTGTCCTATTGGTAATTATTGTAGCACCTGAGGTACTGTTTCAGGACTGTGTTGGTTCTTTCATGAGCCCCATTCATTTGGGGGTGATGGGAGGAGCTTAAGCCCTGAACAGTTCCCAACAGCTTCAAGAATTCCCGCCAAAATTACAATGTAAGTTGCACTCCCCTATTGGAAACAATGCTCTCAGCCGCACCATGCAACATACGCAGGTGTTGTACAAAGAATTTAGCTAATGTCTTTGCAGAGGGAATTTGGGGACAGGGAACAAAGTACACCTGTTTTTTAAAAAAATCTGTAACAATCTATATAACACTATATAGTGTTCCCCCCACTTTCAGGCAATTACGCAATAAAGTCCATAGATATTTCTTTCCACGTTGTCCGGGAGTTAGCCATAGTTTGTATAAGTCCTGTGGGTTTCCCCAGAGATTTCTTTGCCACAGCACAAACTGGACAGATGGCCACATAGCTTTCAATGTCTTTCTTCAAGGAAGGCCACCAAAACTGCCTCTTAACCAAATGCAGTTTTTTTATGAATCAGATAACAGATAATCAGAGTTGGAAGGGACTTTGTAGGTCATCTAGTCCAACCCCTTGCCCAAGCGGGAGACCCTACACCATTTCTGAAAAATGGCAGTCCAATCTCTTCTTGAAAGTCTCAAGTGATGGCGCTCCCACAACTTCTGAGGGCAAGCTGTTTCATTGGTTGATTGTTCTCACTGTCAGAAAGTCTCTCCTTAGGTTAAATCTCACCTTGTTCAGTTTCCATCCATTATTCCTTGTCTGGCCTACAGGCACTTTAGAAAATAGCTTGACTCCTTCCTCTCTGTGGCAGCCCCCTCAAATATTGGAAGACTGCTATCATGTCTCCCCTGGTCCTTCTCTTTACTAGGCTAGCCAAGCCCAGTTCCTGCAACCATTCATTATATGTTTTAGCCTCCAGTCCCCTAATCATCCTGGTTGTTCTTTTCTGTACTTTTTCTAGAGTCTCAACATCTTTTTTATAATGTGGTGAACAAAACTGGATGCAGTACTCTAGGTGTGATCTTACTAAGGCTTTATAGAGTAGTATTAGTACTTCCCTTGATCTTGATTGTATCCCTCTGTTAATACAATTTAGGATTGCATTAGCTTTTTTGGCTGCTGCTGCACACCGCTGGCTCATATTTAGCTGGTTGTCCACTAAGACTCCAAGATCCCTGTCACAGTTACTGCTATTGAGCCTGGTTTCACCCAGTCTATATGTGTACTTTTGGTTTTTCTTGCCTGAGTGTAGGACTTTACTTTTCTCTACATTGAATTTCATTTTGTTAGATACAGCCCAATGTACTAGTCTGTCAAGATCCATCTGGATCTTGAGCCTATCTTCTTGGGTGTTAGCTATTCCTGCCAGCTTAGTATCATCTGCAAATTTGGTAAGTTCCCCTTCTATTCCCTCATCTAAGTCATTAATGAAGATATTGAAGAGTACTGGGCCTAAGACGGAACCTTGTGGCACCCCACTGC